ATAAATCATTTTGTTTATTTCTTTAATTTTATTAGCAGGGAGGTTTACCAAATTCATTACATATTGTATTCTAGATATGGCCAATGTTTTGATGATCTGTACCTTCCCCATAAGTGTTAAATCCCTGGATTTCCAAAATTGCAATGTTTTTCTTATTTTTTCCAGTGGTTCAGCCAGATTTAGTTCTCTTGCTTTGTTTTTATCATAGGATACAAAAATTCCAGTTGGCCACTTTAAGTTGAGTGGTCTTTCTTTGCACTCTTTATTTTTTCCTATCTACAGGGCTTCACTTTTACTCTTATTTATCGATAGACCTGAATTTTTTTTTGAATTTTTCTAGTAATTCAAACATGTTTTGTGCTGATTCAATATCCCTGAAAAAACATGTCAAGTCATCAGCAAAAGATGCATTTTTTATCTCATCTTCCCCACCCAAATTCCGTTAATGTTTTGTTGTGTTCTCAATTTCACCAGAAATATTTCCAATGCCAATATGAAAAGTATTGGTGAGATACAATCACCCTGTCTGACACCACGATGAAGTTGCAAGTAGTCTGTAGATGTTCCCTTATTCATAACACAGCTGTAAATATTGTTATAAATAATTTTCACCCATTTTATAAATCCCTGGCCAAAATTAAAAGCTCTCAATGTCTTAAACAGGTACTGCCACTCAATACAGTCAAAGGCTTTTTCCAAGTCTATCGTTACCAACAGACCAGGCAATTCCATCTCCTCTGTGTAGTCCATTACTCCTTCAATCAATTTTATAACATCACCAATAAAGCGATTGTTAACAAATGCACTCTGTGTAACAAATTGGGGAGAACTTCTTTTACTCTATTTGCTAAACATTTTGTAACAATCTTGTAGTCAACGTTTAGGAGCGTCACTGGTCTCCAGTTACGTATATATCTTTTATCTTTCCCTTTTATTCAAGAAAGGAGATCACACCCTGTCGCTGTGACTGAGAGAATTTCCCCTTTTCAAAAGAAGTATCAAATGAGTCTAGCATATGTATTTTCAGTATATCCCAAAAATTCACTTGTTAGGTCATCATTTCCTGGTGTTTTGTTTGGGGGCATTGATTTTAAAGCATTCAAGAGCTTCCTTTTCAGTTATTAGTCCTTCACATTTTTCAGCCTGATGATTTTCAAGTTTTGGAACATAATGATTATTTAAGAATAATTCTTCATTATCAAACCCTGTATTTTTATTACCTTGCCTGTACCATCAAAGAAGGAAGGGAAAGGTATATTAAGGGAAATATTTCTGTCCGGCTGTTGTTGTTGTCATTGTCGTCGTTAATAATTGTTATTGTGTGCATAATAACTTTACTAATTCTATTCCAAACTTCATCAAACTTGGTCCCCATATCCATCAGTATAAAGTCTTTCCAGAGTTTGAACAACAGATGTCCTGTATGAAAATTTCATGCAAAAATTTTGAAAATCTGATAAAATATTTTTACTG